GAGCAAGAAACAGAGGCAGAGAAAAGGGAGAGAGAGAGGAGGCAAAGGAGAGGCTGAGAAGGATAAAAAGAGATTGAGGGACTGAGTCAGGGAAAAGGCAGTTTAGAAAGGACCCTAAAACAAACACATAAAACTCCTCATCATAATGAGGGAAGTAAACCACGCTACGGCCCTTAGGCCAAATCCAGTCATCCAGATACCTGTTTTAGAACAGCCTAAAATCTAGTCATAGGTTTGAAAGAACCTAAAGAAAGTAAAAAAGGAGAACAGTATTTCAAGATATGAAATTCAAGGCCCCGGGGCCATACGTGAGGTTTCACTGGAATGCAGCCATTCATCTGTAAATTGTGGCTGCTTTTAAATTGGGACGGTGTCTTGATGGCTGTGACTAGTTTGTATGATGTAGTAAAGCAGAAATTATTTGCCATCTAGTCCTTGACAGAAAATGTTCGTTAAAACCTAGAGTTAAAGATATGGGAGAAGAACTTTTGAAACTAAATACCTAAATTTGAGGCATTATGATGTTGTCTTAGGTCCAACTGAACCTATTTTGACCCAAAATTACTGAGAAGAACAGCCCCACATGTTTTCCTTTGCTGTAATCTCTTCCAAAATAGCTCAACAGTTCTTTTCTCTCTCAGGACCCCGGGTGTGTTTGAATTATCAACTTTCATGTTAACTGCTGAGTGCTTAAACGTAGCACCACCAGATCTCTTTGGGATAATACAGTGGTTATTGAGCATTCCACTCTGTATAAAAAACTTAAGTGTTAGGGAGCTCTGGTAGCCTACTGGCAAGAAGCTGCACTGCAATTCCAGAGGTATGTTGTTCAAATCCACCAGATGATCTGCTGGAGAAGGAGGGACAATCTCCTCCTGTACCAGTCAGATCTGATTTGACGGTGTACACACACACACACACACACACACACACACACACACACACACTATTAATAATAATGATAAAAAAAAACCCAAACAAAAAAAAACAACCTTAAGTGTTCATCATGAACATACTGAATCCACAAAAAAACCTCAAGATATAGTGGCTAGTCATTTTTCAATCCTTTTCACAGAGGAGAAACTAGAGGTTCAGACCTCGGAGCTTTTAAAACATACTTATGTTCAGGTCATACCCAGACCTTGGATTCCATGATAAAGTGACTGAGATAGACCTGGCATTCACGTCTGCCTTATTTCCAAACACACCCACCTGAGCCAAACCTTCACTTCCTCTCATACAGCAAGACTGTGGCTATTTCCTCCTACATGGGGTGGGTTTACCCCTTTCCCTTTCCAGATAGCAATGTGGCTTTAATTTTTTCCAAATAATACATTCTACCATTAATTGAGGGAGTTCTGGTGGCTCAGTGGTAAGAAGTTGTGCTGCCATCCCAAAGACACAAGGTTCAAATCCACCCGCTGCTTTATGGAAGAAAGACAGATAATCTCCTGCTGGATTATTTTACCACCTCTGAAAACCTGCTGGAGGGTGAGCTATGAGTGAGCTTTGATTCGATGGTATATAACAACAACAACAACAGCAACCAATCATTTATTGAGGATCCGCTATGTGCTCTGTACTTACCTGAATTAAACAAAAAACAAAACAAAAAAGCAACCATAAAAACCTCAAACCCAACCAAAACCAAGCCAGTTGTCATCAAGTGGATTCTGACTTGTGGTGACCCACTGGGATCAGGATGGACTGAGCTCCACAGGGTTTCAGTGGCTGGTATTTTGGAGGCCGACCATTGGAACTTTCTTCCAAGGTGCCTCTGGATGGATTCAAGCTGCCAACAGTTACTAGCTGAGTGTGCTAACCTATCGCATCACCCAGGGACACTAGTCTTCCCTCGAAAGTCACTGACTAAAGTAGATTCTGGCTTTGTGACCCAGTAAGTCAGAAAAGAAGTGCCTCATAGAGTTTACAAGACCATAAATGCTTACAAAGCAGACTGCTATAACTTTCTCCCTCAGCGTGACGAGTGGATTTGAACTGTTGGCCTTGTGATTGTCAATACAAGTGCTTTAAGCACAGTACCGCTGGTGTTCGTTCTAATCTTCCTTACCTGACCACCCTTGCCATCGAGTTTATTACAACTCACAGACTATGGGACAGAGAAGAACTACCACCTGGGATTTCCAAAGCTCGAAGTTGGCTAGCCTCCTCTTTCTTTCATGGTTGTTGTTGTGTACCGGAGAGTTGGAACCGACCCATAGCTGACCCTCTGGCAGGTTTCCAGAGGCAGTTACTGCACGGGAGGAGACTGCCTATCTTTCTCTTCAGAGCAGCTGGCGTGCCTTCAGGATTACAGTGCAGCTTCTTACCACTACAGCTTCCTTCTTTCATGGTTAAACAAGTAGATTTGAACCTTGGACTTTTTAGTTAGCATCTCAATGCTTAATCCACTGTACAATCATGGCTCCTTCTTGTTATTGGTAGGTGTTGTGAGTCAAATACATTACACAGCAATGCTATGAACAATGACCTGAGCCCTGCCCTATCCTGTGCCATCCTCATCATCCCTGACACACTCTGAGCTCACTCTGAGTTCACTGCTGAGCTCATCGTGTGGGCTCCTTTGTCTGCTTTAAAAAATGTCGGTTCCCTCCATTCCTCTGCCAATGACCTTACACAAAATAAACCTCTACCGTTGTCAAGTTGATTCTGACCATCAGATTTCCTTTGCAGAAAACTGCCCATCTTTCTCCCATGGTGGTGGAAAGCACACTATACCACTAGAACTCCTTAATGATCTTGTAAATCAGTTATTATTTCTTCCTTTTCCAACTGAGGCTCAGAGAAGGTTAGAATGACTTGCTCATTGTGGGACGTCAGGGCATAGATTTTCCTCGAGGTGTAAAAGCACAATTGGTGTGAGTTTGTGGAAAATGCTCTGATGTTTGTTCTGTATATTGGTTATAGAGGTAGCCTCATCTCTATCCACTGAGAGTTTTATACTTAGGTGGACTTTTCTGAATACATGTTATACTTCAACAAAAAGTTTAAAAATAATTGACCTAAAAATGTAGGATGAAATCAGGATTTAAACTTAAAACTGACCTAGAAAAGTATGATGAAATCAGGATTTGAACTTCATTCTAAGTCAGTGTTTCCTGAACTGAGTGTTAATACGATCTAAGGTGTGCCTGATCCAGGCCATGGTCTTTGCAATTTCTTACTATGCGTCAGAGAGCTGGACAATGATGATTAAGGATGTAAGAAGAATTGATGCCTTTGCGTTCTGGTGCTGGAAGAGAGTCTTGACCATGGACCACCAAGAAAACAAATAGTTCTATTTTGGAGAGGGTGAAAATAAGTTTATCCTTAGAGACTAAGATTTTGAAGCTCCATCTCACATACTTTGGGCACATGGCCAGGAGACAATGGTCCTTGGAGAAAGACATCATGCTTGGAAGGGTGGAGGGACAGTGCAGGAGAGGAAGACCCCTGATGAGATGGATTGATACAGTAACTGGAGCGGCAATGAGGGTTGGTGTGTCAGATTCAGTAAGACTGGCTCAGAACAGGGCAGGCTTCAGAGCTGCTGTACATAGGGTTGCTAAGGGTCCCGGGTGACTCGATGGCACATAACAACAACACAACATAGGGAATTAAACAGCAGAGACACAAATACTAATAAAGCTCTCCCTTTTTCAATTCTCTTCTAGATCTTCAGATTCCATCAAGGAGAAAGTGTGACTCTGGCAGTGGGGTATATTTATCATGATCCAAGTACTAGTAGTACCCTTTGATAAACAGGAAAGATGATCTCATGGCTTCGAGCTCGAACAAGCAATATCATTAATTAGATTTTAACAATATTGTCATTTTCATTTATTTAATTTTCCAATTATCTTACAAGGCAGATTTGACTTACTGTGAAACTCATATCCATTGCTAATTTCTTTATGACTAATAGAATCCTAACTGATTTTCTATAAAACCTCAGAATGAGCCAATGAGGAATAAGGTGCTGGGGAGGTGGAACATTCAGGAGCATTTCTTGGATGCATGACAGACCTCATGACTGGTGAGCCAGCAGCCACCCTGGGCTATAAGGCAGCCTCAATGATGGAAGTCATGGAGTAAGAAGAAGATAATTAACAGAGATAAGAACACTACAGAGCCACCAAATGAAGCTTAAATTGCCTCCTTCTTCTCCCCCTTTTAAAATAATAAACACATATCTATCTTATTTAAGTCTCCTATTTCTAGACTCTATTCTGACCCATCAAATATAATTAGTTCCATAAGAAGACAACTTTAATTTATGGCAAATTATACTTAACATCAACTTATAGTGATAACATGTTTCTAAGCTTTTTTAAAAAAAGTAAAATAAATAGAACATCAAGGCAAATATTAATATGAACTATCACATGAGGTGAAAGGGCATGGGTGATAGAGAACTGAAACACTAATAAGACTGTGGTGTTAGCCTAAAAGTTGGCTTTTTTTAGTCATTAGCTTAAGCCCACTGCTGGATGATTTGGCTTTGACTGCTGAACTGAAACAAGAGCTTGGACTAATTGAGGAATTGTGCCTTGGAACTGCTGGGCTAAAACCTGCATTTGCACTGGGTGATATTCTTTGCCTCCTCCACTCTTCAGCTTCTCTAATAAACCCCTTTCTTGTTATCACAACTGTGAAGAAATGCACTTCTTGCTCCGGCTGTGGTTGTAGAGGCATGGGGCCTCCGGACTCTATCTGCTTTCTGCTCTGGGGTGGTGAGGGGCTGTGCTATTCTCACTCCTTCTGGCCCTTATAGAGAGACGCTGATGGCCCCGTGCCCCCATTTCCCATTTTCTGCCCTACAACAATGACAAACTGAGAAAGGATGTTGAGAATCAATGTAACAAGACTATCCCGTCTTGTTGCCCATCTCAGGAGGTCCTCAGTTTTCCCAGTGGAATCCTCTTGATTGGTCCTTGAGGATCTCTCATCATTGGTCCAAACCAGGACAGTTCTTCAAGCTCAAGGGAAGCCTCACTTACCAGGTGTCTTCCAGGGTCCGTGTGCTGCTTCTTTCTTCCTGCCTTTTTTCCAGCTCCACTGCTGTCTGTTCCAACAGAGCAGACACAGCATCCTGCAAAGACAAAAAAAAATGCTAATGGGCTTGTCTGTTGTGCCATGAACTCTGTCCTAGCAAGCTGAAATCAGAGCCTCTTAGAGCTATGACTCATCCTATGAAATCAGGGCAAAACTTAAAAGACTATAGTTGGTAGATCTTCAGAAACTAACCTCTGCATATATAGACTTAGAGGAGTTTTGGTAGACAGCAAAGATTAGTATAGTAGTTAAGTTGACAGAATTATAGGATTTTGGATATAGGGAGATCATAGGCTACTCATGGACCACAACACACGAATATAACAAAACATGATAAGGGCCATGAGAGGTTAAGTGTTAGACATACAGGAACAGAAGTACATGGCAAAGCCCCATGGTGGGTGTGTTCCAGAAGACTTCCTGGAGGAAGACCACCTATACTGAAAGAGACTTAAGTAATAAGGTCTGTGACTTGGAGAAGTTCCATAATCTTTGAGACTCAGTTTCCTCTAAAAACGACTACAAAATGTTGAAAGTTGATTGAAAAGATATACAAAAGCACTCAGTTACTGGCATTCAGTAGACAACAGCTAATAGAGCAAAACAAGACCCTGCAATTTTCTGAGTACATGGTTCGCTTGCAAATACTCTTGTTAGTATGGACCAAATTTTGAATAATCCTTGAAGTTTGCTTTTTGAGAAGGGAAGAGAGAACTGAAATTGACTGAAGACCTGGTATATGCGAGTTTTTGGTGATTTATGGTCTGTCCTTCCTAACCTATATATGACTTAGCCTATCTTCTCCAGTGAAATTCTGGGCAGTAACAGTCCAAAGTAACCAAGTACTGACAGAAGTATTACAGAGTATTGAAAGACAAACTGAATTTCAAATGCATTCTATTTGGCTTTCTGATATGGCTAAGAACCAAGTATGAAGACTTCCACATGCTGTCAGGGAGTCCTGGTGGCCGAGGAAATAAGGAGTTGCTCTGCCAACCCAAAGGTAGGCTGTTCAAATCCACCAGCTACTCTCACTGAAGGCCCCACCTATGAGTCTATTCAATGGTAATGAGTACTCATCATGATACTCATCATGAGTAGCTTATATAGCATATAATCATATATACCATATGAGTATCTGAGTTGATACTCATATTATAAGACGCTTTCATACTGTACACAACAGTGCAAGTGACCTCACTACTGAGCTGACAGCTAGCCAGGCTACTTAACTTGCAGATATAGGCTTTCCAAAGACAGACAAGAGTTTAAGGAGATTTGAATAGGTAATTAAGTATTCCACTTAAATGAAAACAAGGTACTGTTTAACCATATAGAAGATTAACAATGAATAGGCAAATGTGAGATTAAAAACAGTTAATGTTTATCATGCACTGACATGTATTTTTCCCCCCAATTTTCCTGACGATGACTCTACCTTCATAATAAGACATAAAAATAGAGGCTCAGAGAGGTGACCTGAGTGACCCCTATCATCCAACTAATTTTTTTACTCTAATGCCTTGTCCTTCCCTCTACTTTCTGTTATTTCCTATATAGGGTTCCCCTATGTATCTTGTAGGGAGCTCTGTGGTCTAGTGGTAAGAACCTGTACTGCATACTGAATGCAAGTGGTTCAAATCCACCAGCTGCTCCATGGGCGAAGGATGGACAATCTCCTCCCGTGTGATTAACCACCTCTGAAAGGCCACTGGAGGGTCAGCTATGGGTGGGTTCTGACTTGACAGTACACCACCACCACAACAATATATCTCATAGTAGTCCTAGTCGCACTGGGATTAAGTAGCTGACTGGCAACCAAAAAATTGCCACCAACCTGGTTGCTCACCAGCTGCTTCATGGGAGAAAGATGGTGGCAGTCTGCTTCCATATAGATTATAACCTTGGAAACCTTATGGGGCAGTTCTACTCTGTCCTACAGGACATGAGTCAGAACCCACTTGACGACAATGACTAGAATGAGTATTTTGCAGGAGGCAGTGGTGGCTCAGTAGAAGAACCCTTCCTTTCCATGTGGAAGGCCTGGGTTTGATTCCTAGTCAGTGCCCCTGTTAAGTGGCCACCACCCCATCAATAGAGGCTGTTTGTTGCTCTGATGCTGTACAGGTATAGCTGAGCTTCCAGATGAAGACAGAGTTATAAGACAGACTTGCCACTCCTGAAAAATGAGCTCATTAAGACCTCATGGGCCACAGACGATCCTAAACCAACCACAGGGACGGCGTGAGACTGGCAGCGTTTTTTGTTATGTGAAGTCGCCCTGAGTTGAGCAGGCAACCTGATGGTGCTAAAAACCACAGTAACAATACATCTTGAACATATTAGGGACTCAATAAAGAGTAATTTTCCATCTTTTATAGGCTTCTCACTACTTCTTTATTTCATTTTTAAAAACTTTATTCTGATTTATTTACAAAATTTGAATATATTGTTTTCACACGGGATCGTCCCACCCTCGACCCCTTTATTTAATTTTTAAAAATCCTGAATTAATATCTTCGCCAGGCAAGTTTTGGTAGGAAAAGCCTAATGCCATAAAGCAAAGAATAAAAGAAATAAAGTGTAAATAAATGGGGAGCTCCCTACTCATTAGAAGAGCCTAGTCCTTCCCTGTCCCCCTCTTCCTTGCCCTTCGACTAGCCTCTACTTTTCCATCTCTCTATCTCTATCTCTGGTGCCTCAGTCCTGAGAAGTTCTCCCGTCCTGCATCCCGGGGCTGCGCGTGTGGGAGGATGGAGCAGATCTGGGTCTGAGCTCACCGTGCTTTCAGGTCCTGGCGAGGGCCCAGTGGCTCCTGCTGGTTTGGGCTCTCTAGTTTGTTTCTTCAAGTATTTGTAACTCAGGAGGTTGTACCAGCGAATTGACTGCTCCCCAGAGCGGCAGACCTCAGCGAGGCTGATCTGAGCGCCCCCCTGTTGAGGATGGGAAAAGGAAGAATATCAGCCGAAGAAGATAAGGAATGCTGGGGGATTTGGCTTGTGGAGAAAACATCACTCTAGTTGAAACGGAAGTGCTTGAGTAGTATAAGCAGTTAACATGTCTAGCTAATAACTGAAGGGTTGGCAGTTCAAGCCCACCTATCCATATGCCTCAGGCCTGGTGATCTACTTTTGAAAAATTGGTCATTGAAAATTTTATGGAACACAACTCTACATCAACATGCAGAAACTTGTCACGAATTGGAATCCACTCAAAAGCAACTAGTAAAAAAATGTGAGATAGAGGATCGGAAGAAAAAAAATTTAGCTGCTAACCACTCACTCACGGATTCATTCACTGGCTTACTCATCACATCTTTAATCAGTACTTATCCTGTGCTAATCACACTGAGAACCAGGTTCATTATTAGGGACTGAGGACAAATGACTGTCTCTACAAGGTCCTGCCTTCTTGGAGCTCAAAGTCTTTCAAGGGAGTAAGATATTTAAAAAAAGCAATTCATTACAAGTGAGATGGAAACTGCTCAATCTTATCCATAATCAGAGAAATTAAAGATTATACCAATGAACTTTTCTCTTAGCAAATTTGAAAAAAAAAATCTGTTCTTTCCCTCGTCTGTTTCAATGCAGTATACATAATTTATCCAGTTTTTAGGGTATTATGGTTATCACAAGAGCCCAGAATGAAGGTTGCATAGTGGAGTGTAGTTGGGGCAGGGGAGGGGTGTGGTGGGGAGGCAGGGGAATGCAGGAATTTTTCTTTTACTTTTCAAAGAGAAAAGCGAACTGGGGGGGAGGGGTGGGCAGGGAGAAAAGTGCAACAATGAATGAATGGAAATCCAAAATCTCTGTAAATGTTCATTAAAATTAATAAAATAAAATAAAAAATTTGAAAAAAAATCCAAAATTTTGACATCACCCTTTGTTGTTGTCGGTGTGACCAGATGCATAAGCACTCCCTCACCTTGTTAGTGAGGATGCGAAATTCAGGAACCTCTGAAGAAATGTGGCAATACCAAGCAGAATTATGGATGCATTTTCCTCCATGTACCATCAATCCCATGGCCTAGTATTTAAGGAACTGCGCTGCTAACCCAAAGACAGACAATCTGAATCTACCAGCTACAACACGGGAGAAAGATGGGCATTCTCCGCCTAAGCAAGTTAAGTGCCTTAAAACCTCCTGGAAGATCAGCTGTGAGATGGTTCTGACTTGATGGTAATGCGGTGGTCGTGGTGGTTATTGCACAGGTAAGGTGTTCTGGTGGAGTTCTCTGCAGGGAATTGCACTGTTAACCAAAGGCAGTGCCTGTCTGGTGATTTGAATCCACCAGCACTTCTGCCAGAGTGCAGTATCACCCCATGTGATTTACAGGCTCTCAAAAACCCAATGAAGGGCCTAGTACTTGTAACTTGATTGCAAGGAGAACTTGACTGCACAAATAGATCTGCTCAAGTACAAGATGACCCACATCAAGATTACTCAATCGGCCCCTGGCCCTCAATGTAACAAAAGGTTTTAAACAACTGAAGGGTTAAAAAAAAAGAGATGACTGCATAGATCAATGGTGATTAATTTCATAAAACAGGTATGGAAATGGTTGCATGAAACAATTTTAATGAAGGAATGTGTACAACACAATGTATGGGAATGAAACACAAGGCATATGAACTTTGCATAAAAACCAATATAAAAATAAAAAAAAGTGACTCAATAAACTAGAACACAGTGGAAGTAGAGGACACAATCTGAGGTGCTGGAGAGGGCCTGGGGGAAATGGTCCTGAATAAGCTGGCAATCTTGAGTTTAGGCGGTGTTTCATTCTGCCATATGTGAGGCCATCGTAACAACAATAAGTGTAAAATATAAGCTATCTCCGTGTCCTAATATGGAAAAGATCTCCAGGCTATCTGAGGGAAAGCATGGCCTAGAACAAGGAGCCTGGGTGGTGTGCAGTGTTACGTGTTGGATCTATGGCAGTGGTGTTTATAGTGTTAAATAGATTATACAAAATACTACTTTTTGTACCAAAATTAAGAGATGAGGCAGTTCTACTCTGTCATTTATGGTGTTTTGAGATGGAATTGGTTTTAACGGCATCCAGCCAAAACAACATATCCTCTTTTCAAAAGCCCTGAGCAGGTGGCTGTACCAAAAATTGGTAGAAATGCAAAAAAAATCCAGTTTGCAAAATGAGCTAATACCCATGCAATGGCTCAGTGCAGTCTCTGGAACAAGGAGAGACACTTCAGTCCACCAAGGATCATTTCTTGCAACCTCTCCTTCTACCAGGCTGTACAGGAGCATGAAACCACATCTGGACCCTAACGGTAATTTCTGGGAGAACAGACGTGAGTAGGTGGAGGCAGTAATCATGCTGGTGCTTGTTTAGCACCAACTTTCCCCAAATGAGGAAAACACCTCCTACCTGTGGGCTGTGGTGTCAACTATATACAGTCAAGTCAGGCATAAAGTGCCTAGCACATCTTAGGTGGCTAGAATACATGCAAATATATGTAAATATATGTATATTATTAATCTATGCATTCCATAATTATTCCCTGAGCTCTTCACAGACACTAGAGCTAATGAAATATTTAAGACATGATTCTACCCCCAGGGAGCCCACAATTTCCTTGATCAGGAGGGAGGCAAATACCTGAGCTAGGACAGCCATACAATAGGCTATGTTTTAAAGTGCAAAGAAAAGTAAGCATGACCACAGCTTTGAGGAGTGATACTCCACTAGATTATAATTCATTCCAATAACACACACTATCGATTCTGAGCTGGCTCAAGTGTTATGACTATTGTCTACTGAGATGGATCTCTGGGTGGTGCAACTGGGTCTAGTGACCTAATTCCAAAAAAAATCAGCCCCTGAAAACTCTACAGAGCACAGTTCTACCCTGATACCAATAGGGTCGTCATGAGTCCATGAGCCAATGCTATGGCAGCCCATAACTTGAAGGCAGACTGCATGCACTCTGTGGATGTGTCTGTGTGGCGCTGTCCTAGATGTTGGGGATACAGCAAGGTTAAGGGATATCAAAGCCCCTGCTCCCATTAGCTCTCATTCAAGTCTAGGGAAAGCAGATAAATCAGTGAGCAAACAAAATTTTGTTTCATCCAATGTAAAATGACATTGATTATAAAGTGTACTACTATTTTATGCCTCATTAAGAAAGAAAAAGAATTACCTATTATCTAGTATAAAGTTTGAGTTCAGAGATGATAAAAGGTGGGAAGGAAAAAAAAACCCACCAAGAACTTATTTCCTCAATCTATGAGATACAGTGTCATGTTAGGTGATGACAAATGCTAGAAAGAAAGACAATACCAGGAAAGGAGAGAGCAGAGAATGAGGGGAGAGGAGTGCCATTTTAAATTGGATAAAGATGACCTCACTGAAAATTATACATTTGGGTAAATCCCAGAATAAGGCAAGAGAGGGAGTCTTGGTCATTGTTATCAGGGTGAAGAGAATGCAAGTCAGAGGGGCAGCAAGTGCTGAGCGCGCATGTGCATGTTAGTGTATTTAAGAAATGCAAGGAAACTGGTGATGAAATCCAAGAGCTAGGAAAAAGGGCCAGATCCTACTGCGCCCTGGAGGCCAGTCAAAAGACCCAGGTGTTGAGGCTAGATGAGACAAAGCCATCATAAAGTTTTAAGCAGAGGAGTGGCAGGCAATTACTTGTGCTTTCATTGCATCACTTTGGTGGTTGTGCTGAAGAGAGATGGCAGGAGGAAAGGGCAGAACCAGGGAGATCAATTAGGAGATTAATAGAATAGTCCAGGTCTGTGAGGACAGTCAGTGCCTAAGATCAAATCAGTGGAACTGGTGAGAAATGGCTAAAGTCTTTTGCAGAAAAAGCTAAGAGCTGTTAGGATTGGATGTGAATGGGAGAAAGAGAGGGGTTATTGATGATTTCAGGGACTCTGGCATGAGGAATGGAAGGCCAAGTTTTCTATCAGTTGAGATGGTGAAAACACAGGAGGAAAACTTAGGGTGTTCTTGTGGATGTGTTCATTTTGGAAGGCTGTCAGACATTTAGGAGAAGATGATGAACAGGTAGTTGGACATAGGAGTGACAGCTACGCAGAGAGGTTCAGACATGAAATAGACACGGGTATGATGTTTGAAGCCAGGAGATGGGAAGAGACCACCAAGAGAGTGAGTGGAAATATAAGGGAAGAGGACCAAGGACTGAGGCCTGGGGCACTTTGACGCAATGCAAACGAGAGAGACTATGCAAAGGAGATAAAAACAAAGAAGTCAGGATGTGAGGAGAAAGCTGGGAGAGCAAAATGTTCAAGAAGCCAAGACAAAGTGAGACCAAATGCCAAACAAGAAGAAGGAGCTCGACATCTTTGATGGGTTCCGAAGGTGATGATGGAGAATCGGTCACTGCATTTAGCAACTAAGAGGCCACAGATGACCTTAATGGTCACCTTCAAGAGCAGAGTGATAAAGTGAATGCCCAATGGCGAGCTCTGGTGGCCTAGTGGCAGGAAATTGCACTGCAATCCCAGAGGTGCACGGTTCAAATCCACCTCTGCTGAAGAAGGAGGAACAATCGCCTCCTGTACCAGTCAGATCCAATTTGATGGTACACACATTAAATAAATAAATAAATAAAATTTTAAAAAAATAAGAAGAAAAGAAAAGTGAATGCCCAGTTGGAAGGGGATTAAAGAAAAGAAAGGGGTGAACACTTTTTCAAGTTTTGTTATAAAGGAAAAAAAAAACCCACCCCAATTTAGCAAAAGAAGGTAAAAATAATATTTTTTTTTTTAAATTTTTCATCATGCGAGAAATAAGAGCATATTGGTACACTGATGGAGTCTCTCTGGGTAGTGCAAATTGTTTACATGCTAGCATACTAATCAAAAGGTTGGGGCTTACTTTTCCTCAGAGAAGCCTCGGAAGAAAGGCCTGCAATATACTTCCAAAACCTCAGCATTCATAGCCCCATGAATCATAGTTCGATTCACACAAAGTTTCCAGAGGTTGGGGCTGACTTGATAATGGGTTCCCCCCCACCCCTAGTTTTGATATATAGATAGGCTGGATCCAGCAAGAGGAAGAAAACTAAAGATAGGAAACAGAAAATCCATTAACTGTTGAAGTGATATTCTTAGTTTTAAAAAGAAGTAGGGAAGGTCCATTCTTGAAACCTGGAAAAATGGTGGAGCTTTCTCCAGATTCCTCTAATGCCTCACAGAGAGAAGAAACGAGGTTATCTGTGGAGAGGAAGGATGGTGGGAAGAATTACCGAAGTTTTCACTAGAGAGGAGAAGAGATGAATTAGTCATCTCGGTGAGCAGGAGAGTAAATGGTCTAGGAAAGGAGATTAAAGGCTCATTGGAGGATAGTGATCATTTTAAAATGAGAGCCTACAGCATGGATGAATATGATTTTCTCCAATTACAAAGGTGGAGAGGAGAAGGATAGTTTACTCTGCATGTTTGAGATGCTGCCAGGGAAGTTTGATAGAGATAAGGAGTGAGGGTGCATGAGAGGAATCTGTTATAGTATATATATGTAGGGTCTGGTAAGGGGGCAGCTCTAGCGGAACCTGAGCTGTGCTGAGCTACGCACTCATGTGGTGAACACCGAGGCCCACGGGCAGCCCTGTGACCCTTGTCATGTGCTGAAGCACTGGGAAGAAATGCTGTCTGTAATACTAGGGAAGGGAGAGTATTATCCGTGCTTGAGGACATCAGAGATGCTAGCAGTAACCTCAACAAAGTGTATAATACAATGGTAACCCATAAGAAAGCTGGCATCTGGGTTCAAATCCAGGCTTCTCCACATATGACCAGAAGACCTCGGCACATTACTTAACTTTTCTGAATCCTGATTTTTGATCTGTAAAATAGGAGAAATAATCATACTTCTTATTATAAGTATCAAAACAATGCATGTGAAGTTTTTAACCCAGCATTAGAAATGTAAAAACTCTCAATACTGGTAATATTACTGCATGGTGGATGAAATGGTTTAAAAGAGACTCAGATTCTACTACTCCAGCAATGCAGGACAGAGTCTGTGTAAGATCAGACAAGCTCTTTCTCCTCCCGTCTTCCTTCCTCTCCTCCTCCGGGCACCGAAAGATGACAGTCTGACACTCTGCGTCCCCACAGGATACAGAAAAGTAGGTTTCCCATTGGCCACAGATGGAGACAAGCTGCAACACCATGAGCGCTTTGGCTGCTGCCATGGCAACCAGCAATGGCCAGACTTCAATTAGGAAGGAGGAATAAAAGGCATCCAATTAGGAGAAGAAAATAGGATTGATTCTCTTCTCATTTAGGAATACCCAGGGCTGAGGAAACACTTCATAAGAGGAGCTGGGCTTAGAAAAGCATTTTGCTCTGTCATTCAGTGTCGACCATGCCTGCCAAGCCCTTCCAGTTGCCATCCCTACCTGGCCGCTGACTGAACCCTACAGGCTGCCAGGGAACACTGTGCTGGCTCCTCTGTGCCCATGGTTAAAATATTCCTCATTGACAACTAAATAATTCCAGGCTTACAAAGCCTTTCTCTTCTTGGAACTCATTTGTATATTATTACAAGCCTGAGTTAGCTCATATTCCCATTTTACAGATGAGAAACCGGGGACACATGCTCAAGACGAGACCTAGAGTACGCAGTAGAGCAAGACAATACACTCAGGTCTGTATGACCCTACAGACGTGGCTTTTCCAGGACACGACTGTTCTCAGGGCTCCTGCCAGCAGGATGAAGAGGACAGAACTGGCACAGTTGTGTTCTGTGGAAAAGACTAGTAATGGCCCATTCCATGAGAGCCTCCTATGTGTCAGGCACCAAAGTGGGGCTTTTACATGGACTATTTCACTTAATCTTTGTAGCAGCTCTTCTAGTGAGTCTCATTGCCAAGTTATTAGTAGGCGTTATCATTCCTATTTTATGGTTAAGAAAACTCAGGATTGGGGATGTTGAATACTTTATTCAGCCATTCAGTTGTATAGGAAGAGGTCAAAGTGGGATCTGAACTGCCTCTGTGTATGTTCCCATAATCTCGTGCTTGCCCAGTCTCTAATGTTATATGGAAAGCTGTGGTTTCCTGAAGCAGGAGTTCAAACAGCACTTTCAGGTCTAAAATATTCTCACTCCCATGAAAGGCATTCTCCTTCATCACTCCAATTAGCCTGAGAATACTGTTTATTGGTTTAAATCTCCTGCCAGAACCTAAGGTGACCCTAACAGGTACTTGTGTCCCCCTCACAGGGCTCAGTGAAGCTCAGGGTAAACCAATTCCCAGAAGGACGAGCAGACAGATGAACAGACAGGCTGCTAGCAGACATGGTCCTCACCAGGCAGTCCTCCAGGTGGCTCCTGTCAGTAGTACAGACATCAACTCTTAAGGTCTTCTGGTGAAGGGCTGGATAGGACACAGACACCCAGAACACCTCATTGAACACGAGGGTGTCCGAGGCATCCAGAGGCCTTGTCCGGAACAGGCAGGTTGTGCTTTCAGAGCAGGGAAGGATAGCAACACGTATGTTCCTAGAAGGAGAGAGGAAATGGAAGAGCTTGATGCAATCTGGATCACGGTTACTGTGGAGTGTCGCGTCGGAACCGACCCATAGCTGACCCTCCAGGAGGTTTTCAGAGGCATTTGATTACATGGGAGGAGACTGCCCATCCCTCTCCTGTGGAGCGGTTGGTGGATATGAACCATTTGCAAGCAAGAATGCAGTGCAGCTCCTTGCCACTAGGCCACGAGAGTTCCCTTGGTGCACTAGTTGGGCTAAAGAGCTGCTAAAAAATCTCTAAGAAAACTACAGTGGATGAGAGTTCATAGAATTTCTCAAGTTACAGAAAATATTTGTGAGGGAGATTGGAAGGGTCCCAAGGAAGGATCTGCTAAGGGTCCCTAAAGCTTAGATCTTAAAGTAAGTAGCGGGTGATATCAGTGGTATGTAAACTCAAGTGTTGAGAAAGATTGCTGAGTTTGCTTATTAACATCAGAAACTCAGTGTTTATTGAAGGATACAGGCTCCTCGTACACTACTGGTGAGAAGCAAACGCTGAAGCTGCTGAAGAGGGGAACCAGTTAAATGTAAGAAATTTACAGAAGTATCTGCCCCAAACATCTCATTTCTCAACACCATCCACAGATACCCTTGTACCACTGAGCTATGCTACTGTTGCTGTTACGTGCTGTTGACTTAGAACCAACTCTTAGCTGACAATCTAGTGGATTTTTAGAGGCTCTAAATCACATGGGAGGAGAATGTGCATCTTTCTTCCCAGGAGAAACTAGTAGTGAATTCAAACCACTTGCCTTTGAGTTGGAAGTCCTACTCCTCACCCAGTAGGTCACCAGAGTTCCCTCCCCTGAGACACAGAGGAAGTTGTTCATTCTGGCACTGAAAACAACCCAAGGGGGCAATCTTGTCTTCCTTCTGCTTTGCCTGTGTTCCTGTCTTCTTTCTCTCTGTCACATCCCCAGCTGGTGGCTGGGTGCAGGTTACAGACATGGAACCTCCCGCTGTTAACCTCAAACCTTATGGTTTAATTTTCCTTCTAGACATCTTCCCACAGACAACCTTTGTACAAATATCAGGACAAGATGGAGGAGGAAATGCTGCAGGCATACAGATGAGTGCAATAAAACACAAAATTAGACTATCAACCTCTGGGTAAGAGAAAGCATAGCATATAGAACTGACTTTTGAAAGCAACCTCTCGGAGTTAAAAGGGGCCTCAACCATTCTATTTATATAAAATTTTTTATTTTATACTGGTTTACTTACAAAGTTTATATACATTGTTTTCCACACCGTCAACTGTTCTTCATGAGGCTTGAAGCCCTGAGGCCACAAAGACTTTACTCACCACCTTGTTCTCAGTCCTGGCCCACTATAGAGTCTTAGGACATATTTATGAAGGAAATAATAATGTCCAGGATGTTTCTCTTTATCGTTTGCATGTCTGTGCATTATTAGCAACACTGACATTTTACATGGTGGTGCTGCGCCAGGTGGAGGTCGCTGTGCACTGGATCTAAATCGCAGCAACCTTGTGTGCAACAGAAGCTCTGCCCACTTCTGCCCTCCTCTGTCACCTTAGTATGTCTGAGTCCATCATCAAGGCTACTGTGGCAAATCATCTTATTGGGGTCTTCCCTCATTTTTCTCACTCCCTCCTTTACCTAATGTCAGGTCTTTTTCAGTAATTGATGTTTCCTAACAGTGTGTCAAAGCAAGGGAGTCAAAGTCTCATCATCCTCATTTCTAAGGAACATTCTGTTTCTTCTAAGACAGATGTGTTTGTTCTTCAGTAGTTCACAGTATTTTCCATCTTTTTTATCAACACCATAGTTTAAACACATCAGTTCTTTTTCTCTCAACTTCTGCATGTATGTGAGATGATGGAAAAGACTTGGGTGACACACCTTAGTGATCAAGGTCACATCTTTGCCTTTTAAAACCTTCAAGATTCTTGCAGCAGATCTGCTCATAGAACTATGCTGTCTAATGTCTTGACTTCTGCTTCCATGGAGGCTGACTGCTACTGATGTTAAGTAGAATGAAATCTTTGCCATCTGCAGTCCCGGTAATGTGCACTAAATCCCCACAACAGGTCATTGTTAGAACAGGACAAAGCGAGAGCATGCGCCCCTGGGAAGGCAGGCAGAGTGAGAGAGGCCAGCCTGAAGCATACTCACACTTTCTGCTCTTGTTGCAGCAACAGAGCGGAGAGGTTACTCAGCTGGATGATTAATATTGCAAATTGCTTATTCTTCTCATCATACCTGAAATGAACAAGCATACGGAACACTATTAGTAACTCATTTCTCTCTCATGCTTTCTCTGTTCTTTAATAATTACAAGACGTGGCTATCGGCTGCTCTGGGGACAGTGCTGAGGAGAGAGCGCAGGCCCCGGTGCTGATGCTCAGCGAGTAACTTTCCTGCATTTTTAAATGAAAGTCAGACATTTGTGTGCAGTGCCCTGGTGTTTAAATCGTGGCAGTTATTCATATTAAAAAAAACAAACATAAAAAAAACAAACATCAAAATCATTCTCTACCAAGAGACAAAGAAAATGAAATGACCTGGTCATCAAAACTGGACCATGACCCCTCCCTAGAGGACAAGTTTTGTCCAGACTGCTGAGACCTGGACAGGATGATGAAGGCATACACCACAGCGGAAATGAATAGACAGAACAAGAATGAGGTGATGGTTCTGGCCTGCTCTGTGTCTTTAGGCAAGCTACCATTTCTTTAAAACCATATTTTTCTCATCAGCAGAATGGGAAGCTCAGAAATGGGAAGAAATTGGTACCCCTTTAGTTAGAGCCCCACAGTTGCCAGCAAACTCTGCTGGCTGCATCCCTCACTGGACAGCAGTGAAGGCAAGTGCTGGTAAAAAGGGGACCATAAAAGAGGACATTGGCCAGAACACTTCCCTCTGTTCACCCTCCCTCCTCCATCTCTTACTTCATAGCAATCTGAACTCGGGTTGCACCCATTGCCTCAGATTCGTCACTTTCGAAGAAAGCAGCCACTTCAGAAGTTCCCAGTCTGAAAGGTAATGGAAGAGAGGGGCGTCAGGCTTCCCTTCAGGGGCTCAGGTCAGGCCATTCTGCAGACCCAGTGTTCCCTCTGGGAAAGAGTAGTTGGATTCTTAAAGCTTGGATCTCCTCAGTGTCCCTCTGGGCCCTGCCTGCCCCTAAGCCTCTCACAATCCCTCTATTAAAGGGGCTTCCCTTTCTCCAGTGCCTGCTCAATATGCCATAGACCTTTTAATGGCTTTTAATTGAGCCACTTCCACCCCTAGGAAGAGCTGGGCTTCTACACCTCTGCAGAGCCTTAAACAGGGCTGTGAGGGGAGGGAGAGGAGATTCAGGAATGCCCTCTGGGGCCCTCTCTCCACACTTGTGGGGCTGACATGCTGGCTATCCCACAGGTGACCTGGGTGTATTCAAGGTTCCCACCTGCATGGACCTGGAGCCACGACCCACCTCTGTACTGAAGCCTCATACACACCACTGTCCCCGGCTACCGACTCGTCCGACACTGCAGCCGAGACACAGGCCACTTTGAGACCACTCCGCGGGGCCATGTTCACAGCTGGGGAAGCAGAGGAAAAAGGAAAAATGGAAAAATAGGGTTCAGAAGCCACAATGGTGTCTTTGCAACACACCGCTTATCTGTTCTTTGATACAGCACAGTCCTATAAAGTTCCAAAACCCTTCAAGTCTAAAGCCAGGTCTCTCTTTGCTTTGGGGTGGCAGAAGTGATAGGTATGATTTTACATATGAAATCACTTGGTTCTCACGTTTACTACTTACTGCTTTATTACTTTGGGAGACTGACCTGTCTGTCTTTACAATGGAGATAATAATGTGGACCCTCCAGGCCTACCAGGAGGAGTCTTCATATAGAGAATGGTGCAGCACAAGAGCGCTACACAGTTTCTTACCACAATTCTTACTATAAGGGAGCTCTGGTGGCCTAGTGGTAAAGAATTATGCTGTCAACCCAATGGCAGGCAGTTCAAATCCACCAGCTGCTATTCAAGAGAAAGGCAGACAATCTTCTGTATGATCTAGAGCCTCTGCAAATCAACAGCACATAATATGGAGTCTCTAAATGGCACAGTTAACATCCTCCACCAGACTAGAGGGTTCAAGTGTGCCCCAGAGATGCCTTGGAAGAAGGGATGACAGTCTATTTCTGAAAAACAGCCACTGAAAACTCTCCAGAGCTCAGTTCTACTCTGATATATGTGGTATTACGAGTTAGGGTCAATGCAATGGCAATTGGAACTGTATCCTACTGTCCTGTTCATCACTCTCGAGATCCATCCCAACCCATCCCACAGCACGATAACAGTGCCTGAGCCCTTCAGAGGGGCAAGGGGAGAAAAGATATAAAGCACTTCCTTGCCCACTCGGCTCATCCTGTACCACTCCTAATTCAGCTCCTCCTTTACTCTCTCTTTAATGGAGACTCTTTTTTTGCCTTGTGTACTGTTGAATTGGATCTGACTAGCACAGAAGGAGATTACCACTCTTTCTCTAGCGGAACATCTGATGGATTTGAACCACATGCCTTTGTGATTGCAGTGCAGCTTCTTGCCTGTAGGCCACCAGTGCTCCCTTATAATAGAGACTTGGGTTTTTTGTTGCTGTTGTTTCTTGTTGTGAACCGTTGAATCAGATCCAACTGGCATAGGAGGAAATTGCCCTTCCTTCTCTAGCAGAGCATCTGGTGGATTCAAACCACACGCCTTCGTGATTGCACTGCAGTTTCTTGCCACGAGGCCACCAGAGCTCCCTTATAATTGTTTGTTGTTGTTATGTGCCGTCGAGTCGCTTGCGACCCATAGCGACCCTATGTACAACAGCCCTAAACTCTGCTCTGTCCTGTGCCAATAGCCCCGTCTCCGACACACCATCCAGATTACCCCAGCCACTGAATCAATCCACCGCATAGGGGGCCTTCCCTTCCTGTGCTGTCCCTCCACCCTCCCAAGCATGATGTTCCTCTCCAAGGACCTGTCCCTCCTTGCAACATGTCCAAAGTATGTCAG